TAGATAGATAGATAGATAGATAGATAGATAGATAGATAGATAGATAGATAGATAGATAGATAGATAGATAGATAGATAGATAGATGCATTATAGTCTCCAAAGGGAAATATATATTGGACATCATACACTAAGAAAAGATGCTTCAACAATTAAATACACCACAAAGAATAAAAAAAAACTCATCTGAGCAGTGAATAAACATTCATAATTTGATAAAAGCTGATCCATAACAAGCAAAACAAAAATGAATTGAAACAAAATTTTAAATCAAACATTCCTTCATATTTTGTAAAGAGAATAGAATCCATCCATTTACTGAGGAAAGGGAGAATCCAGTGGTGACATTCTGTGCAAGTGAATTTCCAGCCAGATGACTGAGGAATCAGATCAACATTTGTATGCAAAGCCTTAACCCTTTAGAGACATTAAAGGTCAGCTTTTCCCTAAGCTGATATCTTGCACCTGCTTGCAGCAGGGAGGTAATGCTGCATCCTGGCATCACGACCCAGCTTTGTGGGGTTATTATCAAGAAACTTCAAAATGATCACATCCAGATTAACGAAATAGGGACGGCAAAGGCTTATTTTTAAGTGGTCCATAGGCTTTCTTGTACCCATCAATAATATTTAAACGTTTCCTTTAAGAAAAAACAGTTTAGCACAAATATAGGAACATTATAGAAACTGTTAAATAGAAAATACCAATTTTCACATATGAATATATATCACAAATTAGGCTAATAAGATTTTATGTTTAAGGTCAAATTATAAATGTTATCCTGAGCTATAACATTTAAACAATCACTTTCCATTATTTTATACACTGAAAAGGTCTCTTGTGGATAAATGTGACATTTGAGTGGAGTTTAGTAGAATAATAAATTTGGTTGTTTTTGTGCGACTCCATGATTCTCTGGAAACAATAATCATACATTTCAATAACAAGCAATTCAATAATAAACAACTAATGGTCCACACCTTCCACTTAATTCCTTTTGTTACTGTTTGATAAATTGACTGCTATTCGGTGATAATTAGCAATGCTTTTAGCCCATTCTAATATTGAGCTAATATAGACATAAAAGCGACTGTAAACAATTTTCAGGCAGAAATTTACCAACTCTGTCTCTATACTAAGTACCGGAACACCTTTATTGAGAGGGGCGATGTTACAAAATAAGCAATTAATTCTCTGCCTACTGCACCAGAGCCAGAGGTGATTGAGGAGCTTAGAATCAATCTTCCAGCTGTTGCTGTAGAAGGAGAGATTGTGCACAAAGTCTTTAGGTTTTTGCGCCTCAGTGGAGCCGAGAAGAGAATTAACTGTACCTTAAGGAAAAATTCATTTTCAAAATATTTCTCAGATAATCTGTAAATATATATATATATTGGGAAGTTGGTGGGAAAGTTCAGCTATCAGCTCTGTCTGAAATGAGTTATACCATCTTTTTTTCTAAATGTCCGATGTATTTAGACTTAAGACTTTTTTTAGACTTTAGACTTAGTCTAAAGTCTAAAAAAAAAAGAAAGAACCCTACTGTTTGGACACTAACTCATATACAGTCGCATGTTTACAGTTATCACTGCTCCACTTTAAAAAAATGAATAGCTTTTACTCTCTGTGTGTACAAAATGACAATAAAGTCTGTCTAAGTCTTATTTTCTAAATGTTCAATGTAGTGCAGTAATGAAGTTTGTATCTGATTCAATTCATATTTGGTGCTAAATCAAAGTATAATTTTTCCTGTAAAAAAAATAAAATAAAATACTGGGTGGTGAATTTTGCTCAAAGTCTAAA